CCAAAAAATGAGCTAAGTTCACTGACATTTTTTGATGTTGCCCACTCCTTGATAGCCTTAATTTTTTTCATGTTCATTCGAATGTGACCTTATTCAATAAGATGACCTAAAAAGTGAATTCGTGTTTGAACAAATGCACATTTCTCCTTTTTAACATACAATTGATGGTCTTGTAATCTTTGAAACATAAGACGTAGGTATTTTTAATGTTCTTGGTGCTCTTCTAAGGTAAAATTATACACCACTATGTCATCTAAATAAATGACCATAAACTTGTCAAGATAGTTATAGAACACTGCATTACATAAGTGGTTTTTGGCTCATTTTCTTTAGCAACTCTAACTTGATGATAGCCAAATTTTAAGTCCAATTTGAAAAAGTACTTGGCCTAGCTCAGTTGATTAAACAAATCTGTAATAAAGGGAATAAGATATTTATTTCTCATGATGATTTTGTTCAAGGCCCTATAGTCTACATATAATCGTAAACTTTCATCATGCTTTTTTTGAAATAGCATGGGTGCTTCAAAGGGTGCCTTCGATGGCCTGATGAACCTAACCTGTAAAAGCTTATCTAATTATTTTATCAATTCAACCAACTTTAGTGGAGCCATGTGGTATGGGGCTCTAGCAGGTGGTTTGACTCTTGAAGGAAGCTCAATTTTATGGTCCACTGATTTTCAAGGAGGTAGGACTTTAGGCAATTGCTCCGACATCACATTCCCAAACTCTTCCAACATCTTTTTCACCCTATCAGGTATTAGTTCCAACTTAATCCCTTTCTTATAAATCGGCATGGCCACATAAGAGGGCTCTTTTCTTTTTACCTTTTTCTTGAATTATAATGTTAAATCATTTTCTTTCCACTTTTAGGAAGTATCGTGGCTGGCACAACACATGGGCGTTCCCCTAAGAACAATAAATAACTAGCAGTTGGGATTGGGATCACTTGAGCCAACATCATGAAGTCTAATTTGAGGATAACATCAAAGTTATTTATGGTGGAAATTGTGAAGTCTACCTTTCCTTCTCATGGCCCTAACTTGGTCATCACACTCTTGGAGCTTTCACTGATCGTAAAGGCTGGTAAATTAACCATTTTTATTTACCTACAGTCTTTAATAACCTTGAGACCACATTTTTTACTTTTTTTAGTGTGATGAAGGTATTGGTTGCACCTATATCTACCATGGGCCTTGTGGTCTTCTCATTGAGTATCAAATCCACATACATTAGGCCTCTACCAAGTTCTCTCTTTATCATGTTTAGTTGGGTACGAAGGGCATTAAAGAACCATATTGAGGCCATCTTGGCTGGCTCTTTTTTAACTTCTTCGACTGTCTCAGGTGCTTTTATAAACTCTTGAGATAAGGTTCTTAGAGCATTAAAGGTACCTCTATGTGAGCATTCAATCACCTGATGTGACCTCTTGCATAAGAAACAAGCTAGAGGTTACCTCGACTTGAAATTCACTGCATTGTTTGCCTTAGGTTAGGTATTATCTCGATCAAAAGGCCTCTTATCTGATCCCTTACTAAAAGATTGATTCACTCTGACCATCTTTCCCTTACTCTCAAAGTTGGAGTTACTGCCACTTGATGAAAATTTTTTCATTTTGAGGAGCCATCATTATAATCTTGATGACGTTCAATAATAACCATAACTGTGGCCACATTTTGTACCTTTTATATTTGTAATTTCATCCTAGCCCAAGGTTTGAGGCTCTCAAAGAAATAGAACATTTTATCATTTTCAAAAATATCTATAATATTCAACATCAGGGTAGAAAAGCTCATCATAAACTCATACACTATTCCCATTTATACCAATTCTCGAAGCTTCCTTTGGGCCATATACTCCACATTCTCAATGAAGGATTGGTTTTTCAATTCTTGTTTAAGATCCATCCAAGTTTTAATAGGTATTCATCATTTATAAATTTTGAATGCCATCATAGCTTGGCATCTCTAGCAAGGTATATTGATGCCATTACAACCTTATCCTCCTCTGATTCAGTGTGCATAGCTCGAAAGTATTATTTCATGTCAAACAGGAAATTCTCAAGTTCTTTGGCAACTCTTGTCTCTTCATAAGATCGAGGTTCTGGCACCTTGGCCTTTTTTCCATTTTTCATTGAGCTAGAACTTGACCTGGCCACAGCCATTTGTAAAATGCTCACTTGGGCCCTAAACTCCTCAAACTCTTTTTGAAGGATATTCAAGGCATCTCTAGCCTTCTCACCTAAGCTATATAGAGTATCGGACTACTCACACTTGATTGTCTCGATTTTTCTCAGTCGATCATTAGTTATCACATGAGCTTTTAGGGCGACCACTATGGCCTCAAGCTCCTTAATCTTTTATTGGTCACTGAATCCATCACTCATGACCATTTTATCAATTCTCTAGCACTTCTCAATCGTGCTCTGATACCTTATGTCACGGGCTAAGCTTTCTTTCAATGAAGCAATAAACCATGTGGTACTTAGATGGACGTTTCTATACAAGTTAACCAAGAGTAGTTCGATATCTGAACAAGCAACAAACAGGTCACAAGTTAATCTCAAGTATACACAATTATATATACATATGGAGGCAAAATGGGGGCAGATCAAGGCAACACTCGCGGTTTTCGAATAAAAAAAATATTTTATTAATATCGAGAATAGTACATCAAGTCTTTTCACCATCGTCTGGGCCAAAAGGGTAACCCTAGATGAGTGATCTAGTACATACTTTAACCAGTGAGACAGTCCAATAATACGTCGACTACTCAACCCCTCTAAAGAACAAATAAGATTTTATAGTTATATTACCAATAACCATTACAATGTTTAAAATTATGACTCTTTTTTCTAGCACATGAGATCTACCTTCTCTTTTGGTACCTCTATCCTGTCATGACCCTATACATGAGTGACTTATGATAATCTATGACTGATCATGACCCTATACAGAGTTAGCTTATGACAAAGGTGATGAGAGCTGACAGCAATCGAGCTTAAAAATTTTTATAATTATATTACTAGAAACTATAATAATGTTTGAAATAAAAACACTTTTCTTTATAAGTCAACTCAAGGCCAACTTCAACTATCTCATAATCTAACAATCTTCCTCTTGATTCCAATAACGCTAGAATTCTACTCGTTATTCCATTAACTCACTCGAAGGTACCCAAATGAGACTCATTTGAGGGCGTCGAACCAAACTCTCAAGTTCCCGGGTGACTACACGATGGTCTGGCTTTAGAGCTCATTCCGTTCGCCCACTGCTCTAGGATCCTCATCACATGTGTAAAGTCTCATCCATTGTTCTTTGTTGGAGTAGTCATGACAGGATCAAGGCGCATCAAGACCTGATCATGACATCTTGACTGTGAATTATGGTTGGTTTGAGCAAAATAGTTATGGGCCGAAGCATTAAACAAAACCAGCTACAGTGGTAAATTTGCACGCCAAGAATTTATCATTTTCAATGATGTTTATTTGTCAGTTCGTCCATTCTTGATTATTTCTACTTATGTCTTGTGAAAAACCAATCAAAATTAATGTGAGCCTTGGCCCACTTTTTTGTGGGCCTACCATGACCGACTGTACGATGTATCAGGCATGGTATTATTTCCCCGTCCTTTTCAATTTTCTTTCAATTTTGTTCTATTCTTTGATTTTTCACTTTATGATGAACTGTTCTTTGAATTAAAAAAAATTTTAAAAATGTTTTTTCAGTTTCTAATATCTTTTTGGCCCAAAATGAAAATGTATGACCAATTCCCCATTGCTCCAAAAACTTTTCTATTATTAACATCCGATAAAGTTTTATATTTTTTTACAAAAAAAAAGAGTAAATGATAACATTTGAATTATAAAATATTGCATATATTTTTTAAGAACGATTACATGTATCAAACGAGTTAAATCATGATATCAAATTTCACATTTTTGGCTATATAGTGTTAAATTTTTGTAATATCCATTTTGGAAAGGAAGAAACCTTGCTACGTCTCAAATTTTGGCTTCTTTCATAAGGATTAGGGTAGGCTGCCCTTGGCAGTAGTACAGCCAAAAAAAAAATACTACATAAATCCAAATTCACATGGTACCAACAGTGTAAAGTTTTGCGTTTCTTTCGAAATGAAAAAAAAAAAAAAGAATTTATATAAAATCAAGTAGAGAACAAATATGTTTATTAAATCTAAATTTATCTTTGGTGCATGACCTTGACTCCCTTTCTTTCTCCTTCACATGTCAACTGCAAGTCTACATTTTTCCAACTTGGCTTGGAAAATAACAAGTATTTTATTTATTTATTTGTTTTCATGTAATGTCAATTTGTTAAAACTTGGAACAGCTGGTCCATAATTGTCATGTTAGTGGAAACCAATCGTAATCTTTAATTATTAGTTTTGAAAGAGAAGATTAATTGGTACAACAAAATTTTTTTACACAAAATGATTATAATTTAAATATAAAAAATTATATAAATTTGAATTTAAACTTAATTTTATTAGATAATGTATTTTAAAAGTAATTGTATAAATTAATTGAATTAAATTTAAAATTTTTATTTCGATGAGTAATGAGATTGATGTCAATGAAATTAAAAAAAAATAATAATAATTATAACTATTATTAAAAAATATTATAATTATGATTAAAAAAATTTAATAAAAAATTTATATTAAATGAGTTTTATTAAAATTAATATTTTAAATTTAACTTATGATATGATAAATTTAATTATATCACATAAAAAATACAATAAAATCCAATCCTATCCTAAATTTAAGTTCAAGCAAAATTTAGTTTGGCATAAAACGCTATAATTTGGATTTGGTTGAATCATAATAATAATAAAAAAAGAAGTTGAACCAGTTACGTAATAATAGTACATTGCCTTGGATGCAAGCTTGTTGAGTCAGTGATTACTCAATGCCAAAAAAAAAAGAAACCTAAAAAAAATCACATGAAATAAAAAAGATCATGGTTAATATTATCATCGATGTTTTGCAAAGGTGGGGGAGAGTGTCCCAGGGAGAAATCCCTAAGGGAATGGCAAAATTCAAAATAAAAAATCAAAGTGACAACTGGCACCGTAGCAAGCCTGCGAAGTGAAGCAAATGACTAATTGAGAAACAAAAGACAATCGCTCTTCTTCCCCATCTCAATCCCATGCATAAGATTATAAGAGTGACAATAAATCAATGGTGGCCCCCTTTGGGTGGGGTTGCCCTGTCCCTGCTTCCCCTGCTAGATTTTGAGTCTCTGTCCTCTTTGCTTTGCTCTTCTTTCTCTCTCTCTCCCAACCCCTTTTTTTAACCTCTGTAACAACAATAACAGCAATTGCAAAATCCCCCATTCATTTGCCCCAACACGCCAGGTTGTTCACTTCATTGTCTCCCAATCAAATCTCGATACCCCATCAATCCGATACCCAAAAAAATTTACGAAGAAAGAAAGTAGAGACTGAGCGGCTGAACCTCCCCGAAGGCCAAAAACCCAAAACAAAACAGAACAAAACATAATCGGATCTTTCTCTTTCTCTTACATTAAATGCCGCATTCAGACTCGCTCGTGTCTTTTACTTTAATTCTCACCCAACTGGCCAGCTCTAGTTTTTCTCGCCATTTTTAATAGGTACGATCGCTGATGCCAATGCTGTGAACTAAAAGACAATAAAATACAGGCAAAAGATAAAAACCATAGCGGTACATATTCAATACGATGGCAACAACAACAACAACAACAACATCAGTTTCTACCAAAACATCGTCTGCTCAGCTCAAAGTCCAAGTCCAACCCATCAAGCCCAAACGTCGCAAGTGCAAAGAAACCACCATTTCTTCCTGTGTCTCCACGGCTGCTGGTACTGCTACTACTGCTACTACAAACAACTACCCAGAGTCGGTTTTTTCTGGGGTTTTGGCTCGGAAACTTGACCCTCCTACCATTGTTTCCCCTGATAGCCCTTGGTGCTGTCCTGCTTCAAAACCCCTCCCCACTCCCCCACCTCCCCCTCCTTCTCCTCCTCCGCTTCCGCCGCAAGCTCGCCGTGTTCCGGACCAGGGAATAACCGATTCTTTGTGGGGTTTCAAGATCCGATATTCTCCGGGCAGTGTATCACCCGTCATGGACTTCACGGGCGGGACAACACTCTCCAACGGTCACTCTCCGTCGAGTTTCACCAACTTCAACTCTGCTCTCACGGCGGGTCTTTTAAACCCGATGTCGCCGCCGCCTCCACCGGACAAGACGCGATCCAGCCCGACCCTTTTCGAGATGATGGCTAGTGAACCCGATATCCACCCAAGAACCCAAACCCAAAACCAAGCTCAGATCCAAGTACCCATTGCAGCTCCCAGACAAAATCAACCCCCGCCAGTAATGGATAAGCAGGCATTGACCATGCAGCGAATTTCGGATCTTTTGTCGACCCGGAGCCCTGGGAACCAGTTTAACGACCCAGGTTCGAGTGATGTAAAGCTGACGTTGAGTTCCAAGGATGGGATTAGTGTGGCAATGAACGTGCACAGACAAATACTGGTGGCACACAGTAGGTTTTTTGCAGTGAAGTTATCGGATCGATGGGCAAGTCAGCAGAGGAATGGATCAGCTGGGCCGTACATTGTGGAAATAGCGGATTGTGATGACGTGGAGGTTTATATAGAGACTTTGAGGTTGATGTATTGTAAAGATTTGAAGAAGAAGTTAATGAGAGAGGACGTTTCTAAGGTTCTTGGAATTTTGAAGGTAAAGTTTTAGTTGTTTATTTTAATTTTGTTAGGTTTTTAGGTATTTATGATATTTTAGTTAACTTGGATACTTGAGAATTGGCATGACAATTAGTAGTAACAGTACAATTACCCATCTAAACTCTTATTTGTGACATAGGTTGAAAGAAGTTGGAAATTTGTATTTTGCATTCTTTTGTTCCACAGCAACCAAAAGGGAGGATTTGGGTTTTGAGTATTATTGTTTTGTGGTGTTTTTGCTTTGTCAGGTTTCAGCGGCAATTGGATTTGATGCTGGGGTTTTGTCTTGTTTGGAGTACTTGGAAGCCGCTCCTTGGGCTGAGGATGAAGAAGAGAAAGTGGCTTCTTTGTTGTCAGAGCTCCGCCTTGAAAATGTTGGAGCAGGGGAAGTTTTGAAGAGGGTTTCTGTTGAAGTGACTAATGGAACTGATGAGGGTGGCGATAATGAAGAAGTGCTTCTCAAGCTTTTACATGTGGTTCTTGAAGGCAAAGATGAGAAGGCAAGGCGTGAAATGAAAGGATTGGTCTTGAAGATGCTTCGTGAGAATCCATCTCAGAATGATCTACGGAAAGAGTCTTTGTATTCAGCTTGTGATGGCTGTCTGGAACTTCTCCGACACCATTTTCTCCGAGCAGCTTCATCTGATTTGCAGGATGTGAGTCAGATTGCAAGACAAGCAGATAATTTGCACTGGATTTTGGACATTTTGATTGATAGGCAAATTGCTGAGGATTTTCTAAAATCATGGGCTTCGCAATCTGAATTATCTGATGCTCATTCGAAAGTTCCAGCTGTCCATAGGTATGAAGTCAGCAGAGTTACTGCACGGCTATTTGTGGGAATTGGAAAGGGGCATTTATTGGCATCAAAGGAAGTAAGGTTCTTGCTTTTACAAACATGGTTGGTGCCATTTTATGATGATTTTGGGTGGATGAGGAGGGCATCAAAAGGCCTTGATAGACATTTAATTGAGGATGGTCTTAGTAACACAATTCTCACCTTACCTCTGGCTTGGCAACAGGAAATTTTGATTGCTTGGTTTGATAGATTCTTGAACTCTGGTGAAGATTGTCCAAACATTCAAAAAGGTTTTGAAGTTTGGTGGAGGAGGGCTTTCTGGCGACGCAGTGGTGAACAAGAACTACCAAGGCAATTACATGTTACAGCTGCAACCATTGAGAACTCATAAAGTTCCTATTACATGGTGCAGAACCGGTGGTACTTTAATGGGTGTGTTTCTTGTTTTGTTTTTGAAATGCTTTGGTCTTCATTCTACACTAATGGGTCATTATCTATCTTCTTCCTCTCTAAACCGGGGCTCACAATTGTGTGGAGGAATTGAGTTCTCATAGGTGGATAATGTGTTTGTTTGACTTAAATGTAACCAGGTTTAGTCATGGAAGAAGACAACATCCTTTAGGTTAAATTTTCTTATGTTAAAAATAAACTATATAGAAACAAGTTTGTATATTATCTCTTTAACTGACATATCTGATTTGGTTTTCTTTGTATTGGAGGGTCATTAATATGAACTAGTAAATTAGAATGCAACCAAAAGAAGACACCTTTTTTCAGCCAGGTTTATGGTCGGTACTAGATACATGCCTTAGATCAGTGGATTGGCTTTGCTAGTTGCGTGATCAAGGTAGGGAAAGCTCAAAATATTATTGCATAGTAGTGAATGTGGGTCTGGTTTCACAATTAATTTTTGAGTTATAATAACCAGTTCTTCCAATATGGAAAACACTGAGGAAATTTTGCAACTGTATGGAATAAATCAAGCAGAATAACATATTGTAAAACTTGACATATTCAAACATTCAATTTCAACAGAATGCGTTCAGGACCCATGTTGTCTGAGATATACATGCTGTCAGTTGGCATTTTGACAGTTCATAACAGTAGAATGTTAATAGCTTGGGGGAGTGATCAACCAAATAAATTCCTATAATGGAAGACTTCACCTCGCATGAGTTATTTATTGTCCATTAATGTTTTCTCTTTGTACTTTTCATCATTGAATGGTAATTATTCCCAGGTATTGATTTTTTTTTCCTGCTTTTGGGATTCCTTTTTCTCTTTTCTACAATCTTTGTTATTCTGAATTGTAAAGAGATGTGAAAGCCATTTAGTAAATACTTAAAATGCAGAATGTCTCACTTAGGGATATTTAGGGCATGGAAGCTGACCTCAGAACTTATTTACTGGCTTATTTCTACTACTCATATCATTCGGCTGATGATTGATAACCTTGTTTCTCCTTCACAGCTCTTGTCCCATTATATGAACATCTATTATTACAATGAATACTGTATTGTTTTTATGCTGATTTTGTCTGATGATTGATGCTGAAAATCGGCCTTTCTATCACTTCATCTCGCTTATTTTAACAGTGCCATTTTCACAGGTGCTGCTTATGGAAAAAAAGATCTGTGCCACCTTTTGTTCAAATTTGTGATGAGCTTCAGAGAGGAGTAGGCTTTTATGGGGTCATAATTAAAAACTTTGGAGTGGCAGAACTCTAAAAAATGAGGTTGCTAATATTAGCCAGATACACTCCAGAATGTTGGAAGCAAGATGGTGTTGAATTCATGGTTTTCTGATCTTAGACTGATGTGAAAATCTTGATTGTAGAATGCAGTGCATCCTATAAGATGCTGCAGGAAAGATGATGACTACTTGTGGTGGCTTGCTGACATTTATTTCAGCGGTGAATGTTGAAAACTTGAAATCTAAGTCAAACTCTTGAGCATCTTTACCATATTATTTTAGTAAAAAATGATGTTGGGGAATAACTTCTTTACTAGTGTTCCTGTGGGAATAACCTAGGAATATGTTTGGAATAACTTCTCCCGTGTAATATGCTGCAGAGGTTTGTGGGAAAATCAATATTCTTTCCTTCTTTGTCGAGGATTTTGGTTTTGAACTTTACTAGAAGACATTAGCTTTGAGATTCCAAAACTTGATAGATGATATGGAAAAAATAAAGTTCATGTGATCCTAAAGGTTCTTTATTGCCTTTGAAGACTTCAACTTCGTATAGTTATTTTGTGAATGTGCCTTTGCACCACTTAGTTCAACTGGAGAATCAATATCAATAACGGCTCCAGATGGGACAGATTGAAAAAAAAGGGCTCATCATTTATATGCTCTAAAAATGCCATATCCATTCTCATTTGAAGCCAATGGGGAAAAAGTTGTATGGATGTGCTCCACTTGTATCATTTCATAGCTGCAGCTCTTCTCTTAAGTGAAAACCAGCTTTCCAACATCTCCTTTATCAAACAAAAGTTTGTCAACCCAATTATTGATTAATAACAGACTTTTTGACTAAATTAAATGTTAGCATTCAATAATCCTATTTTCTTTATTTCTTGCAATGTGTTTGCACTTGTAACAGCGATTGAGCTTGAAAAGGAGATTAGAAAGTGTATCAAAGCTGGCTCCAAAGACTTCGGCAACTTTTTGGACCCCATCACATGTTTCTATGCACAAAATGCTGTTTTCCTCTTTATTAAATGAAAATTGTTGAAAATTCAAATCACAGACCAAACAAAATACACCCAGGGTGTAAATTTTCAATAAACAACTACCGTTTTGTTCTAATGTTGCTACTCATTTAAGGGACAAATTCTCTTCAGCTGACTCAATTTCCTTGCCAAGGCCTTTTCTTATATTACACTATATAATAATGGATAGGGAATTCTGGCATTGCCTTCCATCCTTCCATCCCAATCAAAATCCTAGCAATAGTGATGAATATAATAACATCATCAATTATTCCTTGGCAGAATCATAATGTACACGAAGCAGAACACTGCGCAGGCTCCAAGTCTTTTGCTGAGGTTGTCCGATAATGGTCTTCAGTTTCTTTCTGGTGTATAGTGATAATTGAATACTAATGGTATATCTTCCCTTAGTTCAGGTTCTGCAGTCCTCATCTTCTAAGTGAGTGATGAAAGAATTTGCCACTGGACAATCATATTCAGTTCTCCTAGTCTTGCAGTCTTTTGCCTGAATAATCAGAAACCAGGAAACTTCAAAGGACATTACAAGGATAAACATCATTTTAACTTTAGAAACATCAAGATTTACATTTGAGAGTGAAACATCCTACTTACCATTCTTGATCAATTAACATTTCATCTTTCAATCCAAACTCTCTTAGCTCTTCTTCATTGTGGTGCATGAATAAGCTGTATCTGAAGATTTAGAAAGATTGCCAACTAGTCGGATTTTTTCCCAACTCGAAAATGGATTGAAATTTTTTTCATTTTGGGCAGAACACAGAAGATTATTACCTTCCACCATAGCCTTTTTCCATGACAATTATGTTACCATTACCCATTTTATTGAGTACAAGTGAAAATGAGTCGTCTTGAGGTGCACGTTTAAAGTGCTAGGAAACACTTCCAACATCCAGAGGCAGAGTGATAGCGCTTAAAAATTTTCCGTCATTTATAATGTAATGCTATTTTCTAAATTCTTCACTGCGGGTGGTGGTCGCAACTTTATCTGATAGATATGAATGTGTGGTGAAAATTAAGAGGGGACCCATCAATTCTTTTGTTTGTTTCGTTTGGATAAGTACATATCGCTAGAAACAAAATGAAATAATGCAATGAATCATTCAAGTTGGAGTTAGGTGCATGCCATTAGCTTACTCGGCAATGTTCATGGTGTGAGTAAATATTTATGGCAGTTATCTAGCGAAAATGAATCACAGAGAAATCAGAGTTCAGACTATCAGAGAATGAAAGAGAGTAACCTACCAAAGCCCTGGCCTGCTCGCTAGCTTTCTCTCATGCCAGCAATTCTCAACGCTCGAACGCACGACCCAAGAGCTGAAGCGTTTCAAGTGTTCTTATACATGGTGACACATATATAGAAATAGACCTTCCAATCAGAAGCTCCATCTTCCTCAACAATTTCCCTTATCCTCCATCCACATTCCTCAGCCTCAGTATTGCCTTTCTCAGTAAATGCAATCTTTGGATCAGCAACTCTTGCATAGACACTCTCATCCTCATTCCCTTCAGTCTATCCAAGCCTTACCACGATTATCATGCTAGGCCTAGGAGGAGGTGATGATGTTACCCGTTGTGTTAAGAAGACACGTTTCAGTGAAAGTAGTGGCATGTCCATTACGAGAGATTTGAGTGGCTTCTTTTGGTGTCCCAAGGCATTGAAAAGGATAAATTGAAACTATGAAAAATCACTAAGAAATTGGGCTTTACTAATTGTTTGAGTCAGAGACGCGCTGCAGTTCATTGGCCCACACTTCTATAGGCTGGACAGTTGGTTATTAATTCATAAAAGCTTTTGATGGGCTGAGCTCGAAGATCGATCCACTACCAATTAGAAGTTAGCTCTGAAATCGGTATACCGGTAACTTTTTAATAGCCCTCGTAAATGCCGGTATTTAATGACATTCAACTTTCTGCTAGTGCTTGCTTTGTTGGCTCTACGAAATCCATAAATTCTCTATAGGCAGCGAGACATACCACCCTATTAGGTATTACCTTTGATTTTGTATGTATATATTAGTATTATTTAGCTTAAGCTCCCAATTCATGGTATTCGGACTATCATCAGAAAGAAGAATATATGGGAACTATGAACAACATTATTTTTACATTGTATCCATTTGAAGAATGATACCTCAGGACTTCATATATACATTCAGTATGGCGACGAATCCAGGATTTCTTTTAAGTGTTCACTTATCTCAGCAAAACAACTGACAGCCCCTGGTTTGAAGGAAACTGCATGGAAAGTGTTGAATTGTAGCCCTCCGCTGGGTGGTGATGAACCTCACTAGGAAATCATTGTTGGATATTAGGTTATCTTCTCTTGCTACCCGTATTTTCCAAACAGTTTTCATTCCATTTTTTTCATCATCCGACATGTCATAACCTGCCGTGTGTCAAAATCACATTGGCCTAAAGCTATATCTTAACCTTTCCATATAGATAAAAAAGGAGGAAAGCAATTAAAAACTCCAATTTGACCACTCAAAGGCCAAGTGCATTTGTCCACAGAGCTAAGCTATGAGTGAATGGTCATTATCTAAGATTAAAAAACGTTGTTGACAAAAGATTTGTAGATGACTTGGAGGATTAATGGTTAACTAGGGACACTTTGTGAAACTGATCAGCCGGTGCAATTACCTGTGGCATAAAGCCACCCCATGGGAATCATAATCTCCTCAGTTTTGCGTTTATGAGTTGTGATTGGAATTGAATTCTCTAAGAGTAGTAGTTTAAAGTTAATAATCATCCAAGATGACCTCAAGTTGAGGCAAGCAGTCCTTGTTTGTGACTCAATGAACCTAAACATTCAGTTGAAAGTTTGGAAACACAGAACTTCCAAACAGGAGATCAGAGCTAGAATTAGGTGACAAAATTGTGTAGAGTTTATATTTGAAAAAACATCAAGCTAAGAAATTTCAGGAGGATAAAGAAAGTAGTACAAAACAGTCCTAGTGATCATATGAAAAACTATAACTTGTTATCAACTGTCTTTGTTGTAGTGTTTCACTTAGAATTCTAAGTACATGCAAAATCACAATGATTTGTTCTAATAGGCATTTGAATAGTCTATTGTAGCCTTTTAATGTGCACCATCAAATTCTAGTCTTTAGCAGCTTGAGCTATCATCAAATGACCTTTTCCCATGCTGCTATCGCCTACCAGTTATTATTTATCAAGAATTGAGATTAGATTAAGATTTTTTTTTTTTTTATAGTATTTAACGTTGTCATCAAGAACTGCAAGATATAATTATACATATTTACCTATCTAAAGCTATATGAAGATTAAAAAAAATAAAAGGAATTGGGTTGACTCGTGAAAAATGAAATGCTCTTTTGAGACTACAAGGGCACAAACAATATATATTTGTATTAATGAAAACCCTAGAAAACACAATAAAACCAAACTAATTTTTACAAGGTTATGTTAGAAATTAAATTTGAATTTATTTTATTTGTTCATGTATTTAACTATCCATGAATCCGATTAATACTAGAAGAATGTATCTACTTGAATGTACCTAGTTACTAGGTAATTTGTATTTAATGTTTTGCATCTAAATTTATACTTGGAGTAATATAAATAACTATTATTTAATTCAGCAAATTAAAATATAAAAATCAAGTTGTCTATATTTTAAGTAAATTTTTTTTGAGTGTCCAACGGTGCTAAAATGGAAGTGGATAAATGCTTAAATGTTAAGCCTTATCTGGTCTCTGGCCTGAAAATAATAAGTACCATGGAAATTGGCTGTAATTTGTTTTTCATGCTAGGATTATACAATATGCATGTTCTCTCTCACTCTTTTATTTTGCCATTTAGTTCCTCCTATTTCAAGCCACCAACATCCGTACGTCTTCAAGCAGCTAATTTCATCATATTTGTCTCTTATTTAAAAGGGTTTTGTCAATCGGCCAATGAAAATGGTAGCTACGAAAGGTATTTGAAGAAACTTCTTGTGATTGACAATGCAAGATATTATTATTATTATTTTTTATATTAAGAATACGTGCAAGCCTAGCTTATGTATTTGAAAATGTGTGTAAACTAAATGGGAATATAGAAAGAAAACATCAGGAAACTAACTAATTCATCTTTATTGACAGATCCCACTTAGGACAAACGAAGGCCATTATAATTTTTTTCCCTGGTTTTTGTCATTTGCATTGACTTTATTCATGTCAGGTGACTTATTTCGTGTGAGTGAAGGAGAAGATGAAGAAAGAATCATGTAAAATACTTTGAGAATCCCTATAATTAATACTCGATTCATTAATTAAACTAATTAAAAATTTTCTACTTTGGATTATTTGATTTATTTTTAATTTTTATAATGTAATCGTTGATCTGAGCTCAACGAGGAGAGAAAAGACCTAAAATCATAAAAAAATGAGAGATAAATTAAAGACAAAAATAAAAAGTTTTTTCAATGTTTATATTTCGACACTCAAATTAATATTTAAAAGAGAGGAAAAATAGTGTTGAGAATGAAATCCTATATAATATTGACAAAATCGATTCGATCTAATATGTTAAAAGAAAGTCCAACAAGCGAATAACAAATTAACATATTTACAAATAGTTAAATGGGATGTTGTAGTGACCAAACTAACATGGATTCCAATAAATTAGGTCGGTCTACCCTTTTAGTTGGGACATAATGATCAAAATAACTTATGAATTACACTCTTGCTAAAAAAATTATTATATCCTTATTTACTATAAATGCCCCAAACAATAGTATTTTTTTTTTTTT